AGCGCTGTCCTATCTGCCCCTGTGCAATTGGCAAACCATACACAGGTATGCAGTATGTTAAAAAGCTCTCTATGGTGCAGCGGTAGAAGGTCACCAGCAGTTTTTCATTCAGTTGTTGCTTCCTGAGAAGTCTCAGCTAGTATAATCTCTGCTGGGCCCTTTTGACCAGAGCTGCAATGTGGGCACCCCAGGTCAGGTCCTCTTTTAGGGCAACACCCAGAAACTTAAAACCGGCCACTTGCTCCCCTCAGTCTCCATTGATAAGCAAGGGCTGGATGTCTGGTCTGTTCCTTCTATAGTCCACTGTAAGCTCCTTGGTCTTATTGGTGTTGAGGACCAAGTGGTTGTCTCCACACCACGAAAGCAACCGGTCCACCTCATCACGGTAGGCAGATTCACCACCCCCCTCCCCGGAGATGAATCCCACCCCTGTTGTATCATCTGCAATGAAAAGAGATGCTTAGTAGGTAGTTGGAAATGTAGCCTGACGCCTTGGGAAACACACGCAGGTTGTAGTAGGCAAGATCCAACCCAAGGAACCGGCCTTCCCCAAATTTTGTCCCTCGCAGAAAATGAGCATTTATTTATTTTTTTACAAAACACCCTAACATACATCCCACAATAACAAAAGGAAGCAAATGTTAATCCAAACACTCCCTAGCTTCTATGACTGTAAGATTTTGAGAAAGATTGAGGGGGGGGAATGGTTCTTGCCCTATTCTAGAGTAACAAGTATTGAAATACAGGTAGTCCTCAACTTATGATTACAGTTGTGTTTTGCCCCATTTTACGACATTTTTCTTGCCACGTTTGTTAAGTTAGTCACACAGTTGTTAAGGGAATCCGGCTTCCTCGTTGCCTGTGCTTGTCAGAAGGTCCCAAAAGTTGATCACATGACCCTGGGACAGAGCAACCGTCATAAATATGAGTCAGTTGCCACGCATCCAAATTTTGACGACGTGACCACAGGGATGCTGCAATGGTCATAAGTGTGAAAAACAGTCATAAGTAACTTTTTTCCGTGCCATTGTAACTTTGAACAATCACTAAACAAATTGTTATAAGTCAAGGACTACCTGTAAACTATGATTGGCTTATGCCCTGAATGTATGAGTGAGAGATATAAGGGTATAAGGTTTTGGATAGAAGGGTTCATACATTTGTAGAAGTGTGCAGCCCTCTAGCTGGAAATCCACCGATGTTTTCGCCATGATGCTCAATCTAAGGCCACATTGTGGTGGCGCAGTGGTCAGAATGCCATATTGCAGGCTAACTCACTGTTCATTGCCAGCAGTTCGATCCTGACTGGCTCAAGGTTGACTCAACCTTCCGTCCATTTCAAGGTCAGTAAAATGAGGGCCCAGATTGTTGGGGGCAAGAGGCTGACTCTGTAAACCGCTTGGAGAGGGCTGGAAAGCCCTGGGAAGCGGTATACAAGTCCAAGGGCTGTTGCTGTTGCTTAAGGGGCTGCTCCTTTCCTATTTGAACCCACGCTGTTCCAGTAGGTTCTCCTAAGACAGGTGGGGCCTCTCCTCGTTCCAGAGAAGCCGTGCCGTGTAATCATGGACTTCTGATTTCTTTTAAAACAGGGCAAAGTTGCGGAGCGTGGCAAGCATATTGACCTGCTTACCAGCCCCAACAGCCTCTACTACGAGATGTGGCACACTCAGAGCAGCCGGATGCTGAACCGAAGCACCAGTGAGAGGTGGGAGGAGAGAAACCATCACATGTCCAAAGAGGAGGAAAGGAAGAAACTGCAAGAAGAAATCATCAACAGTGTGAAAGGCTGCGGGAACTGCTCCTGCTGAGCCCGAGTCTAAATCCACCCCCAGCTGATGCCAAGGAAAGTGTGCCCTGAAGCTGCATTCAGCCAAGCGCAGGGTTGAATTTAGTGGGCTTCTCTCCATGAAGACCGGATTTTGGTGGCCAAAGGATTTTAGACCTGCTAGTCAGTGAGGATTGGTTGAAACTGACCTGTACTGCCCCATTAACACTTAACATTTGGTAATAATAATCTCAGACAAGGTGCAAATCCTCCTGGAATTGTTTGTAACATGGCAGAAATGGCTATGACTATGAATTATCTGGCATTCACTGTTAAGATGTTGCATATTCTAACACTGTTCCTCACTACTGCAGAGTTAAAGGTGGTTTTTAATATATTGATTTTAAGAGAAACCAATTAAATCAAGTACGAATATTCGTGGGGGGGGGGGGAAAGGATGCCATTAATATTCTTTAGTTGTTGCATTTGATAGAGTTTGTATCCTTTTATAAAGGAGGCATCGGGTTTGCAGTTCAATGCAAAGACATTTTTGCCTCAATATTTACTGGTTTCCCCCAAAAGAAGTACATATTTCTGCAAGGACTAAATTTTCAGTGTTAAGAACAAACGAGAGCGTCTCAAAATGATCGGTGCGTCTTTCAAAGCAGAGTATTAACAGCTGGTTCATCTCAGTTCTGTAATCTTCCCAGAACGGCACAAGGAAATGTTTCTATTAAATTCTAATGATAATTCAATACAAATAGTGTTAGAATTATTGTCTTGCCAATAAGTTGCTTTTCTGTAGCAAGACACAGAGTGTCTTCATTCTTCAGGCACTATCCACTATGCCCAGTTATGTCAATAAGTATTGATGAAGGAAATCTATTGTTTGGAAAAGTAATGTGAGTTGACCTTGATTAAAAATAACTATCCATTAGGCACTTCGATACAAAGATGAGTAACTTTTGCTGTGCCCTGCAAAACAAAACCCTTTAATATGTGGTAATAGGTCAAAGTGGATTCATTCTTCAACTGGATAAGTTGCTCTTTGATGCCATTAATGGAAAAAGTTGTGCTGCTAAAAACAAGGTTGTCTTCCTTCCTTCCTTCCTTCCTTCCTTCCTTCCTTCCTTCCTTCCTTCCTTCCTTCCTTCCTTCCTTCCTTCCTTCCTTCCTTCCTTCCTATAGGGCCATGGGGGAAAGAAAGGAGCAGAGGGGGGAAAAAACAGTCATTATTGAATTCCAAGAATTGTCGATATAATTTATCCTGCTTTCAGTGTTTGCTTGCTTTTTATTCCCAAAATGAAAGTGCTTGTCTGTCTTAAGAGACTGGTATATACCTCCAGGCACCATCTGTGCCTCCCTGGAGTGTCGATGCATCTTCCACCCAAGCTTCATGAGGTGGCTGTCCTCCTTGTGGCCATTGTTCCAGTGAAAGGTACAAAGATCCTGCACGCATGTAGTGTCTGCGTACATGGGGCTCCATAGCGCCGTGATTTGTAACCCGTCAGGTGTGCTCAATGATCATTTAAATAAATACTTTTCACCAGAACTACAACCAGTACATCATCTATGTCAAGCTACTGATCTCCTCCATGCAGACGTTGGAGGGCGGGACTAAGTCAATTTGAACTGCGATTAGTTCCTTGCAAAATGTGGTACAATGATCCAGTGCTGGGCTCCAAATAATTTAACAACCGGTTCTCTGCCTGGTTGTTGGGTGGGCGTGGCCATGGTGGGCGTGGCCTAGTCCTGCACCATCCTGGGAGCGAAAACGGGCTGTAGAGGGCCTGTTATTCCCGGGCTCCAGAGGTGCTCTGAAGGCCGGAAATAGGCCCGTTTTCACTCTCCACGAGCCTCTGGGAGGCCTGTTTTCCACCTCCCCAGGCTCCACACGCCCCCTGCACTTACCTGGGATCCAAAACAGGCCGTGTGGGGACTCCTGGGTGGGATGGGGCGGGGCGGGGCCAACCGGTCATCAGAACTACTGGTTCACCGAACCAGACGTAAAATTAACATCTGATTTGCCTGAACCAGTGCAAACTGGCTGAATCCCATCCCTGCGATGATCCTAGCAATTTTAAGGCCAGCCAACCTCCCCTTATTTCAGCAGTTTTATATCCAGAGCACCTTTTCAACAAAGTGGCATCACTGCAGGGCAGAGTTTCTCAACCTTCGCGACTTTAAGGCAGGTGGACTTCCAGCAAGCCTGGGGAATTCTGGGTGTTGAAGTCTATCCGTCTTAAAGTTGCCAATGTTGAGAAACGCTGCACCAGGGGGAGTATTTCTTTATCTTGGCAGCTTTAAGATATGTGGACTTTCATTCCCCGGTTTGCTGGCTGGAGAATTGTGGAAGTTGTAGTCCACCCATCTTAATGTTGCGGAGGTTGAGAAGCACTGTTCTAGTGAAAAAGCAAGCAAGCAATACTGTGGCGTTCTTAGGTTTTGTCTTTGTGGAACAAAGTTTTCTGTAAAACGCTAAAGGGGACCAATTTTTCCTTTTAGACTAATCATTCCTAATTTTCAATTGTTTTTCAGGGTCTCATATTATGTCCCTTCTGAAATGAGGAGGGAAATCTACTTCAAAGCCTTTTTTTTCCTCTCTCTTAGATAGACTACGGTGTGAAATAAAGTCACATTTTATTACTGTAGGGCAATATTTCTCAACCTTGGCAAGTTTAAGATGGCTGGAAGCGGCAGTTACACACCAATATCTACAGTTCTAGAGCTAACATGCAATGCATGTGGCCCTTTTCTGCCCTGAATTAAGACTGACTCCACATACCAAGTTGATTCTGAATTTTTGGCGCAAGCACATTTGTTGCTGTCTACTGGTTTTTCATTCCCTTTGCAGATTCCTACAGGGAAGGTCCAGGGCGGAGTGGAAAAGAAGAAGGGCCCTTCTTTTGGAAATGGGCACCTGCTCTAAAGTCTGGATTTAAGCATTTGTTGGAAATTAAAACAAAATATTTTTTTTTCCTGTATGCCATTCTCCTGATCCTAAGGATCCATACGTTTTAATTACCTCAACTTGAAAAACAAAATTTAGGAGAACATATAGGGGAGAGAGAGGAAAGAAATCTTAGTATTTGAATTATTAACTTAAGAGAAAGGAATAACTTTATTTTGATCGGCATTTAAAGGAAAAAGGCAAACATTTAGGGTGCTCAAATTGCTTTAAATTCAAGCAGAAAAGAGGGGGTTGGAACATGTGGGGGGCTTTATATCTCCCATCTGTACAGCTCTTTAAAGAAGCTGCATCTTGTCCTGGGATGATGTGGCTACTTTAAAGACTCACGACTTTGAAAGACTCGCATCCCAAGACATTTTTTGGTCCTTTGTCTAATCCAATGGGCTGCAGAACCCAACAGGAAGTAAAGAAATCTTAGAAACAGGAGTCTTTCTGACAGTCTTTATATGTTTTTTTTTTAATATATGTGCATTTGATAGATTTTGTTAGCATAATGTTTCATTTACAACATATCAGAATGTATTTTGGCAGAGTAGCTTCTGGTCTAGACTTTCTGATAGTAAGACAACAAATTGATTTTTTTTCTAGTATATGATCTTTTGGTACGGTAATTGCATGTTGCAAAATGGCTTCATGCTAAGAATGCACTGATTGTATTTTATAAAACATGATGAAGCTCTAAAGAGACATTGATAACTGCCATTGACTATTCAGTTTTCTTGTGGCCTTGAGTCAGTGGCTGGACGCTTTGCTACAGACCAACCAAGTCAATAAAGTTGCAATTTTTTAAACTAATCTCCAAATAAAACTGTTGAGCCCATTGAAAGGAAATTCAAGGAAGCATGGACTATATTGGAAGAAGGATTTCTCACTCAGTTATCAACGTTTTTTTAATTGAAAGTATATAGTTGTCAATGTTATCTTAGAGCCGTAAAGAAGACCCTACATTCAAGCGAATGTGTTTTTTACTGGCAAACGAATTAGAAAAGAATGTCTGATCCTGAAGTCTTTCCTTGATACTATCCTATGGAAAATGTTGGGCATTGCACAGCACTGGAGCATTTCTCATGTTTCTATGTGCTAAGTTGAAACCATTCGTTTAATAATTGCTCACAATTTCTTACCACATCTTAGTTATGGAGTGCAGCTTTTCTCAGCCTCAACCATAGCTGGCTGGGGGATTCTGGGAGTTGAAGTCCACCCCCATCCCCCAAATGGTGCAGAGGTTGAGAAACCCTGGTGTCGTGCCTTAGCAGGTTCCATTTTACAATTTCTGAACAGATTTCAATGAACAAAGAACAAGATGGAATTAGCAGGAAACAGTGCAGAGAGGCAGCTCATTGGCTGTGCGTACAATTTCATATTTCTCTGCAGATTCACATGGCTTTTCTTGTTAATTGAACTAACAGAAATTATTTTTGAAATTCAGATGTTTTACATTTTATTTAGACCTTTAATCCCCTTCACTAGTGTAAATATAACTTGGGCAGAGCAAATAACCAATTTCCAAGCAGCAATTTAAAAAAAAATCCAGAAGTCACCCCAGTAAAAGTATTGTATATAAGATGTCTATTATGAAGTCTTAACATAATTCATGTTTAATGTGTGTAGATAATTATTACTGGAATAAATGACGAATTGCTTTTTGAATAGAAATGGGTGTCCTGTTGAAATTATTCTTTCTGATAGTAGCTTTTTCAAGAGCAAACCAATATTTTCCACGGTTCCTTGCATGGAACAGAAGGCCTGATTATTTTAATAGCATGCCTCATCTACCCAGAGGGAGCTGCCTTAGAATTATTCTTGGATTAAAAGTCATTGTTTGTGCAGCATTCAGTAATGTCAGTGAAATGAGAATAAATTGTCACACTTTGAGCTTTTAACAATCAGCAATGAAAAATTCTCACCTGAACGGATAGAAAAAGGAACTCCACAATGTCTTATAAATACCTCATTATTACCATGAGAAAAGAGCTATATTGAATTGTTTTAGGCCATATCTTGTTCTAGATTCCACTCATTAATGTCTTTTAGCTTTTCTTTTCTTTTTTTTTGGAAGGCTTCTCACAGTAGCAATCATGATTTAATAGCCATGATTTAAGCCATGATTTAATAGCCTAAGGTTTTCCACCTGTATTGAGCCTATGGCTATGATAGTTACGAATTACAGAAGACTGGATCCCAGCTCCACTTGGAAGACTGGTTTCCATTATTGGTCAGTTGGAGCAGAGGGGAACGTGATCCAAGTCTCTTTTCCACCCGCTGAGCTTTGATGCAAGATGGGAGCAGCAGCAGAGTTTCCGCCCCCTTGGCTATTGCCATTCGAAGGTCGGTTCTGCCTTCTTTTGCCATTGCAACCATCTTGAGTTCAAGATGACCCCCCCCCCTCAACTTCATGGCTGAGAATCCTCCTCATTGGCCATATGATGACAGCAGATTCTGGGATTAGTTTTCTTTCGGATTGCCTGCAAAACCAGAGGAAGAATAGTTTGCCCAGATTGTGTTCAATTTAGCCAAATTTTATATTGACCTCAATTCATCCCAGCGGACAAGGATTGTCTCAGCCGCATTCAATGGGGGTGGGAGAATACTTAACATTTTTGCAAGTCCAGGGACAGAGATGGAAAGAATAAAGGTTCAAAGCTGTGGATGTGGTTGGAATCTTGATCAGAATAGAACTGGAAGGGACCTTGGAGATCTTCTAATCCAACCCATTGCTTAAGCAGGAGAACCTATTCCATCTCAGACAAGTGGCTGTCCAGTCTCTTCTTAAAAGCCTCCAGTGATGGAGCTCCTACAACTTCTGAAGGCAAGCCATTCCACTGATTAATTGTTCTCACTCTTAAGAAATTTCTCCCTAATTCTTGGTTGCTTCTCTCCTTGATTAGTTTCCATCCTTTGTTTCTTGTCCTGCTTTCAGGTGCTTTGTAGAATCGATTGACACCACCCCCCCTCTTCTTTGGGGCAGCCCCTCAGATAATGGAACACTGCTTCATGTCATCCTTAGTCCTTCTTTTCTCTAGACTAGCCAAACCCAAATCCTGCAACTGTTCTTCATATAGTTTAGTCTCCAGGCCTTACATCATCTTAGTTGCTCTTCTCTGAA